AAATGATCTCTATATCAGTGAGGTCTACTTACTCAGGTGGGCACGGAATGTTGTTACAAGGATGTTGCACTGTGGGTAGTTGTTCATCAAAATTACAGAAAGTATCTGAGACCACTTCATCTTTGACCATATCGTAACACTCGATTATGGTATCTTGGATGCCTAGGTACACGTATAAAACAAAATCATATATTAAATATCAAAAACAACAAACTATATATAAAACAAAAATGAACAAACAAAAATTTATCTTATATGCAAATTAATGAAGCAATAGTTTTCCTGATGTTTAATTTCAATTTCTGTATTAATATTACATTTCTGTATTTAATTTCCATTTCTGCTTTGTATAATCTGTATTAGAAGCCGCATCCCTAATAGAAGTCACAGCCATTCTTTTTGAATAATTGAGAACCAAAAATTCATCATTACTCATATGTGTAGGTGCTCTAATAGAAGCCGCATCCCCTCTATTGCATTGTACCATTTTAATGCTGCGGTTTCTAATACAGATTTTACTGTATATGATGACCATTGAAACTAATAATGAATTTTTTTTTTTATTTTTTAATGAAAATAACAGACAAAACCTAAATTAAGCATGTTGTACAATTCATCTTCATGGCATTCTAACAATACACAAAAAACATGTGATGATTTTAAATTAAAATATTGTATTTACTTTTTAAAATTCATCTTACTAACTTGTATCGATTTCATTTGTATTGATTACCGGTAATATTTTTATTGCTACATACTGAAAGAAATTTCTAAAAATGCAATAAACAATTATTATCATTATTATTATTATTATTATTATTATTATTATTATTACCCATTGGTGGAGAAAGTTGCAATTTATTGTAGGCAAATATAAATGTAATTAACAATTGGAAATGGATAAGTGGAAGCGCAGAAACTAAAGTTTGGCACATGCTTCAGTTAGTCAGATTTCATACAGATATTTCAATATTATTTAGTACTAAGGATTCATTGCAGCTTTAATAACCATGTACGATGATATGCGATGAAGCTCTCATGAGAAACAAATGCTTGTGATCTTCGAATGTTACAAAGTGATTCCATTTCAGCGAGTCATTAAAAGAATTTCTGACTATTAGCGTCACAAAATGCAGTGGGTGATTGGAAATGGGTAAATAGAAATGAGTCAGATTATTGTTGCATGCAAAAACGCAAAATGCATGTATTACACGCTTTCATCTTGAAACAATCTGATATAAAACTAGTTCTTTCACAGACTCGGTTATTTCTACTAGGATCTATAGAAAAAATGTTTTCTTGTGACTTGCTGATTATATGCTAATTATTCTCATGACTTCTTCAATTCGTGTGTGATTTCCTAACATAATTGGCCCTTACATACCCGAATCTTATAAATTCTTCGATAGTTATGCAACTACAGAGTACAGTAATCTTGAAAATTATAGAAAAGATCAAAGTGCATACCAACTGATGACAATCAAATATATTTACCTCCCAAACATGATCTACTACAGTCAGTATATCCATTATACTGCCAAACATACACAGATACTGAATTCTCAACTGAGTTTGATGTAGATATGTCTTTATATATCTCTGTTTCAATATCTACAGTTGGGTATTCACTCTCGCCGTAATTCATACAACTACCGATGTTGCATTCTTGATTCTCTTCTGGTTTGATGGTCAAACATTGGTCATCATCTAAGACAACTGTTGATTCGCTGTATGTCAAGTACACCTGACAAGACACTGGACGAACTTGAATTCCAGGACCACAAGTCTTGCTGCATAGACTCCATTCACCAACAACATAGCTGTGAAAAAAGAAACTTGAAGTTGCTACTTCTACTTCCAATTGACAAGCAGTTAACAATATGACAGGCACAGTGGAAAATTAAGTGTTTTTGGTATCGTACGCCCATGTTATTGGCAATACAAAATGTAACAACAGGGTCTAACCACAAGTGTTTTTTTGTTACTGGAATTACATGTGTATGATCGCTTGTGGATATGTGACGCATCACCAATACAGGGCCAAAGCCATATGTATTTCTGGTATGTTACTGGTATGTTATTGATAATGACTGTGTATGCACACAGTAATAGAGATTTACCTTGGTTCTGAAGATGCCTGAGACAGTTCTTGAATACTTTGGCTCTGTTTGATGACAGTTGGACCAGATATTCGTATTACACCAGCCTCTAAAATGAAATACAACATTTATTTCAATGCAATTATCAAAAATTACTGTTCCATTTTCATATTTCCAATACTTTTAAAAGCATATAAAATATAAAGATTAATAGTTTGTATGAGCGAGCAAGTTTTGAATAAATGCGCGTGTGAGTACAAGTGAGTTAATGGTGAGTATGTTTGTAAGAGGTGAGTGAGTGAGTGAAGGGAACAAATGAGTGGAGAGTATTAGTGAGTAGTGAGTATGAGTGAGTAAAGACAACTTGTATTTACCTTGCTCTTTCACACACAATTCAGACGCTAAACAATGTTTTTCCTCAGATGGTTTAGTGTTAGACGTACATCCATGTGCGATCACTCCATCATGGTTTTTACAGTATACTCTACGGTAAATTATACCACGGCCACAGGTTGCAGAACACTGAAATTGATGTAATATGATGTAATATTGAGTTTATAATAAAGATCCATCCTTCATATGAGAATTACAAAAAGAATCTTCATCCCAATGACATGTAACCTCTCAAAACAACATTTTATTCATCGATGTTACAGTACGTCAGGGACCTTAAAAATAATTTTTACATAAATTTTGCATGGAGAACATACTTTATATATATCAAATGCGAGTTACTTAAAATACTTTATTTCCACAATTTACGCTTCCTTCTTCTTATATTTAATATAATCAACTCATAAAAATTAGTGAAAATAAATTCTATAGAAAACACCCAAAAAGCCTTTCAGCGAAAATTAATTTTATTTATTGTATTTTACAAATTATTTAAATTATATTATTTTTAGTCAGTAAAATATATCTCCCAAACACATTTGGCTATCCCTGGAGGTAAAGTATTAAATAATTTCTCAAAAATTATACTGATGTTTTTTTGTTTAAATCTTATTCATACCTGCGACCATGGTTCTGTATACCACATAGGGCATGGTTCCATATTACAAACTCTCTGTAGCGCAGGCCTAGCACCAGAGCACATGGTATCTTCTACTCGAACCAGAAGACCAGATGGAGTCATCTCAACACACAGCACGTTTCTAAACTGCATACCACCACCGCAAGATTTGGTACATGGATTCCATGGATCAGATACCCAACTATAAAGATATTAAATAAATAAGATTAACACATAGACGGTTTGGACATCAAAAAGAAAAAACAGCAGCCTCTCGGCTGAGATAGCTCTGCTGTTAGCAGTGCACATTTCAATTAAAGAACAGAAGATATCATTAGAAAATGAACAATATGTATAGTATCAAAACAATCAGACTTGCGGTTTTCAACAAATCTGGTAGAGGTCCACATGTAGTACCTATATATGTAATATCAAAGCAATTGGACTTGCGGTTTTCAACAAGAAGTCGAAAATATCACTTTTTACCAAAAATTACAAAAATATTCATCAAAATTAGAGAATTGAAGATATCATCATGAAATGAACAAATCTGAGTTAGAACCACATGCAGTACCTATATATGTAATATCAAAGTAATTGGACTTGCGGTTTTCAACAAGAAGTCGAAAATATCACTTTTCACCAAAAATCACAAAAATGTTCATCAAAATTAGAGAATTAAAGATATCATTACAAAATGAAAAAATCTGGTAGAGGTCCACATGTAGTACCTATATATGTAATATCAAAGCAATTGGACTTGCGGTTTTCAACAAGAAGTCGAAAATATCACTTTTCACCAAAAATGACAAAAATATTCATCAAAATTAGAGAATTAAAGATATCATTACAAAATGAAAAAATCTGGTAGAGGTCCACATGTAGTACCTATATATGTAATATCAAAGCAATTGGACTTGTGGTTTTCAACAAGAAGTCGTAAATATCACTTTTTACCAAAAATTCCAAAAATATTCATCAAAATTAGAGAATTGAAGATATCATCATGAAATGAACAAATCTGAGTTAGAACCACTCAAAGCAATTGGACTTGCGGTTTTCAACAAGAAGTCATAAATATCACTTTTTACCAAAAATGACAAAAATATTCACCAAAATTAGAGAATTAAAGATGTCATTACAAAATGAACAAATCTGAGAGAGGTCCACATGTAGTACCTATATATGTAATATCAAAGCAATTGGACTTGCGGTTTTCAACAAGAAGTCAAAAATATCACTTTTTACCAAAAATTACAAAAATATTCACCAAAATTAGAGAATTGTAGATATCATCATGAAATGAACAAATCTGAGAGAGGTCTACCCAAGGTACATATACATCAAGTATCAAAGCATTCAGGCTTATAGTTTTCAAGAAGAAGTCGAAAAAGTAAAACATTGACACGGACGACGACGGACAATCACTCATATGATAAGCTCCGCTCGTCAAAGTCGACAGCGGAGCTAAAAATGGCGGGAGTTATGAGCACTGAATATCACTTTTGCTGCTTTTGACATTTGTTGACATATAAAGTGTCATCAATCGAATGGTTATGTAGCATCGACCTATTGGGATCCCCACGAGACCATGCGTAAAAGGATAGGGTAAACACATATTTACTGTATCTTGGCTGGCGTAGATAGCAAATTGTGTAATCAATATACATACTATAAGCAGTTTAATTCTTGCTACTTAAGTTTGCGATTTGATGGTATAATGCCGTTTGTTAATGAACAAAATTCCATGAAAGTCATTTTCAGACTACCCGTACATATGCATGTCAAAGCTGTCTAGCAAATGTGACCCCTTTTTTGTAATATCAATTAAGGCACCAACAAAGAAAAGTGCAGAATTGGTCTCCTAATTAGAGTATTCAAGACATGTGTGTTCAACCCAGGGCAGGATATTAATTGTGTCCCATGATTGCAAAACAACAACCATAATACGACTAGGGGAATGCTTTAGATCATCTAACCTGGGTGGACAATGTTGTTGATTGCAACCCCTCTGCTGAAGTAATGGTTTGTGATTCGGCTGGCATTCACTTTCATCAACCTCTTCACCAGTTCTCACATCCACACACTTGACTTTGGCTACCTGTTCTCCTTTTCCAAACAGAAAAAAAACAAAGAGTGAACAATGTAATAAATAAATAAATAAATAACAACATCCTGAAAGTGATTTAAATGCAGCATTAAGACAAACGTTTAAAAGGGGAGTTGCCATTTCCAGTCACCAATCTTGAAGTCGTCATATCACCAGCCACACAGTTGCAGTTGAGTCAAAGCATATGTACAAGACAGATTTTGATACTTTGAAAACACCTGCTGACAAACAAGCTGCTCTCTGAATGGTCCGACTGGTGTTAGGATATTGGTAATGATATCTTTGAAATGCTTGTTCAACCATTTTTTGTGCAAAAGTAATTTCTGTATAAATTCAAATACTGGTAATCGTTTCATGTATGACAATTTCTTGTCCTTGATTATTTTTCACTGCTACTGGATGGATCTTCATCATGTGCTTATGACAATTACATAACTTTATCTTTATGTACCTTTGTATGCATCTAATAACATGCATAGTTACAGTGAGAATCACTCACAAATCTTAAATACAAACAGAGTTATATATTTTTTACATTATTACATGTAACTGTATTGTAGTAGATTTTAGATATCTAACTTGATATGTTTATTTTAACACCTTTATTACATTTTATAAACCAAAATAGATATGTAATTCATACTATAAGGTTGAAATAAAGAATTATCTTATCTTATATTGATTTATGAATTGGCATTTCCTGAATTTCAAGCTACATGTATGTAAGATCTCCAGTCATAGAAAACATGTCAGCCTTGCAGCAAATAGTTCTTTTATACTAGAAGTCACCTTCAGAGTGAATTGTACTCGGTGAGTGGAGAGGATAAATATGCTACTAATTTGCATAAATTACCCATGATTCTCTGAAAAATTAAATTCTGGTGAAGATGAACATAAGAATATAAGGAAACCACTATTTCACAATAAAACTAATACTGGCACTATGAACACATCAATTAATGTTTAACTTTCATGAAATCTGCTACATTAATTTCATGTGAAGTGGAAAAATAATAATATACATGTAACTCATTGTTTCACAGGCAAATCCAGTGAATATGCACAGTCAAATTTACTGATCACAAATTTAATATAGTAAAACTGGTTTAAACTTTTAACAGCATTTTCAGTTTATTCTCAATAAAAACAATAGAATTACACATTCCTCCTGCTAGAGGGCAGTTTACACGAAGACATTCCATTTTTCAGGTCTCATGCCACTAATCAATCAATGACCAATGGTAGCCCTTATTTTAAATGCCTTGAAGAACCAATGAAAGTTTTTAAATATTTTTTTTCAGGTGTGCCCTATTTGAGGGCATGCATCACCTGGGTCAAAGGTGAGACTAACATGTGGTCTTGTGTTTATTACTTAGCGACTGTGTACCTGTGGGTTTATTCTGTGTGTATTTGGATGTTCTAATCTTGGTGTTTTTACAGTGATTTCTCTAGGTGCAATCCAAATACAGTAGGTGTGTCTTGTTTACCTGAGATTTTCAAGAGTTTGAACTGGCCAACATGTTAGTTTTTTTATGTGGTTGATTACTGGCATGTTGATTTCCCATTTTTGAGCCATGTTTTCAACTTTGTTTATCATTTACATATAGCAATCTCGTCATATGTTAACATTGTCGTCTATGAAAATTCAATTAGTGGTATGAGCCCTGAAAGTACATGTAATCCCACTGACAGGAAGTCAGGTTTGTGCAGATAGGCAAGCAAATGGGTGAATGGGGCAGGCATGTTTTTTTACTATTTCAATTTATGTTTTGTAGTTCTTCTGAAATTTACAAATTTTCCCATTAAGAATGTTAAGCAATGTACAAGTGGACATGTTTTTGAAATAATAAATTTATTGGTCATTCATTGTTTTTTATATTTTTATTTGAACTGGTATACAAAGAGAGCTTGAACCAAAACAAACAAATATGCACAGTAACACTTCCCAGGATGCAACCAAAGGTCAGTTTCTTGAGAAAAAAATTAATATTTCTAATTTCAAAGAAATCAAAGTAGCAGAAACAAAAATTTTCTTTCAACAACATAAACTGGACTGTTGTTATTGTTGATCATCTTTTGAGAAGACAGCAGTATATCGACACTTCTTACATTACAGAATCCATACTACCATAAAACCTTTATTAAAAGCAGCATCATTAACAGAAGTCACACCCACTCTTCTTGAAAAATTGAGAACCAAAAATTCACCATTTCTTGTATGTGTTGATGCTCTAATAGAAGCTGCATCTTCTCTGTTGCATTGTAACATTTTAATAGAAAATTTTACAGAAATTGCAAAAAAATGTATTAAATAAGAGAAAATTATTGTTTTATGATTGCATTGTTTCTCTGACAATTAAGTATGAATTTTGGCCGATTTAAAAAAATACTTTTTGCGCTAATTGCACTTGCAAGCGTTGACAGTATATGCATGTACCCCCCCCCCCCCGGTACGTGCATTTTGCCATCAGATCAGTAATCTATATTTAAAACATCTTGACAGGACTTTACGACTATCTGAAGTTATATTATAAAATATTTTGTGATATCCCATGCAAAGTGCATGCCATGTGCAGTCAAACAAAGTAACATCTGAATTTGAAAATAGTATTTTTTACCAAAAATGACAAAAAACTAAAATTAGAAAATTCAAAAGATGATTTTTTTTTTGTCAGTGGCTTCAAAACTTTCCTATTTTATTTGGATGTCACACTTTTTTGTGTAATATAATTGGAACATGTGAACATGCCATTAAGAGCAAAAATTTAAAGGGAACCTCAATCCAAACAACATAATGATCCCTAAAGAAAAAGCTTCACAAATGTAGGAGAATGCAATTTACAGTTTTTTATATCAGTTTTCATTCTCTAGATATTCAACTTTTCATCGATATTATGTCGTCAGCCATCTTGATTCTCAAGCAAAGGATTATGGGTAAAGTATGACATCATAGAATCTGTTGTCAGAAATTGAGAAAATTATTTCATCTTTAACATGAGAAATACTGATGCGAATTAGTTCAAATTTTCTTCAAATTACTGTTTTAATGTTTACCGGTAATTGCGACAACTACCGCAGAATGTGTGCTTTCTACACCCCTTCTGATCACCTGGAAATGAGTTCTGAAAATTTACCACCATAGTTCCATGACTACAGAAGTAGCAATTAAAATAAATGTTAGCAAAAGTTTGGAAGCAAGAACATTACCATTACAAATTCATTTACATTTCTAACTCCATCTAACAACTAGCAAGCAAGTAATGCAAAAATGTGTGGTTTTTTTGCTGTAAAATTAATATTATGGCCTGTATACAAGTGATAAGACAAGCACCTGTATTTTTTGTCATATTTTTCTCAATCTATGTAATAAAAGAAGTAAAATGAACATCATTGCACTAAATGAGTACTGCAACAGGTTATAGCAGACAACAGACAAAATCAACTGACTATTTGTTTTTTTGATTGCCATATTGTACAGAAAGTATACAGAAAACTATAGAATTTCTCACCTACTATGAAATATGTCGGTCATATAATAAAATGAACACTCTGATGTCACGTCATATGGACTTATTCTAAAAGTCCTTAGAAATGAGTTATTATTCAACTAGGAAATTAATCTAAAGAAATCTACATATGCCTGTACTTAAACCGTGTATTCATTTAGTAAATGTTGTTTCACCCTCATATTACATAGATAGAAAAATATAAACAAATATGCCCTTTAATTATGCGTACGAAGGCCAAAAGAAAAAGCAAAAAAAAATCACACCATACCTCCTCCACAAGTATGCGAGCATTGTGTCCATCCTAAATCCTGCCACAGAAACAGCCTGGGCACATGATACTGGTAGTGCACCTTCTCATGCTTGCTGCTGGCTTCAGTGTATAGTACCTTAAATATACATGCATGCAGCATATGGTGTGTTATAACCCTTTGAATGCCTCATTTTTACCGTCTGAAATTATTGTGGAACATTTTTCAAATTTTTACGCATTTTTTTTTAATTTTTGAGTTGATTTTGAACCTAGTGGACATAATTTCACACTGGCTACACGTATTGATCAAAATAGTTGAAAAATATTTGTTCGTAAGGTGACATAAATTGAAATTGGCATTCAAGGGGCTAATAAACAGTGCAAAAAGTAGCAATTATATTATATATGTATATATAGCATTGTAATTCTACAGAAAACCACAAACCACAGTTACTACAATATTAACACACCAGATTGGTTACTACAGCAACGATAATATGCTAAAGCTGCAAAAAAAATTATTGTTATCAGTAAGTACTACATAGAATGTGCTACAAGATCTCTAGTCAGTATGTTAGTGATTTTGTTAGTGGTGCGTTAAATTAAATGGTCTACATTTGAAAAGATAGGAAACTTCCAGGGTTGTGAAAATAGTGCTTGTACTGTGCATCCAGCTTGTTAAAATATCAGTTTTCGGGAGTTTTTTGTTGTTTTTAGAATCTGGGGTATTCTGTTAGATTTGTCTAAATCTTAAAATGATTAGGATTGATTTTTTTTTTCATTATAGTATGCATTTTTGTAGATTTGTTTATATTTGGAAAGATATCGGTTGTCACCATTAATAGGCTTGCCTCGTCCATGTATTTTACATACCATATTTGGGCATGGTTTATGCATACTCACTGTCATACTTAGGTTAGCTTTGGTTGGTCCTGTTAAGCTGATGATTTCTTTTCCACTGCGAGTGAGGAAAAAATCCACAGAATTTTCTTCAATTTCGTACTTTCCTGCCTTTGTTAAATAGCGCATGTTCTGATTCAGTCCTTTCCTGGTTTTCTGGCCCCTTACACCCATGTGAGCTCGCCCTCTATGGGTGAACTTGATGTTGCGACTACCAACCGGTAAAATCATCAATTCCTCAATGCCTGCGATTGTCAAATTAATTTGTTTTAAGAATCACTGAGAGTTGACTATAGAGGGCACTCTACAGCAGTTTTTATCACAAAACAAAATAATTTTCTTATTTACAAAATGAACTTTGTACGGTACATGTAGCATAGCAATTATTTTATTTAACGATACCGAAAATGGTACATAAAAACATATGAATATGCAGTACTTTACCAACATGAAGATTTTCATATCAAGAACTTATTTACCAATTAAATGTGTATGTTTTATGTGTAGTTAATTACAAATCACTGAGAAATACATCAAACATCATTATGATAAATATATTATATGGAATTTTTATTGGATATCAGAAATTCTCATGAATAGAGAAAACTAATATTTATTGAAATACAGCAAGCAGTCTTTGCATACGGCATGTTCACTAAAATTTATACATGTTTAAAAAGTAAATAATGCACATTTTTTTCATGATTCTTTCGCACATGATTCAACAACTGTGTGACGTTTTTGGGACTACTTTATTGCATGTGTCTGAATACATACTTTTGTAATGGTGTCATATGTCACCTGATCACCCGAGTGTATTTTTATGAAAAAAGTAGTGCCATTGGTGTAACTGAAAATGGCGGAATAAACAGGAAGTTAAACTTGAGAGCTCTCTGGTTTTTTTTGATGTTTTGTGTGTTGTCAACACATCAAAATTAAACTGCCACTCTTAAAATATTGTGGTGCATTCTGAAACTAAAGCAGTTTAGTCATCAGATTTTGTAGTGGCTTAAGAGTAGTCCTCAAAGAAATAAAGTTGCTCAAAATCTGCAGATGAATGGGTAGATATAATGTTTTTCTTAGTAAATTACCACCTTCTTCAGCCAATTGGCAAATGGGGTGAAGACAAGAAAAATTCTTAATATTATTCTGATTTTGGGAGAAGTGAAAATACACTTATATCTGTGAGGTTTTATGATTATAAATTATGATTTACTCAGAATAAAAATAACTTTTTGGATTTCCTCTCAGCGATTGGTGGTGAAAAAGTTGCATAATTTGTTGTAGCCAATTGAAAATGCGATACGCAGCGTGAGGAATAGTTACCAAAAGCCCCTAGTAGGTTATTGTTCTTTAGCTGAAACAACATACCTTTTATATATATTATACTACGCACTCTACGAAAAACCAAACCATGTAATTTCACATTCAGTTCTGAGCACAACACACAAAATTAAAATACTACCATTGAAAAATAAATATTCATATAGTCATGATGTGATTATTTTCATGACATGTTTCACTATACTGACAATGATAAGTTTAAATACCTCTGGCAATGACCGCTGAAAGTTTCTTTGTTCCCTTTATTTGTTTACACGTTGAACCATCACCGTTGCAGACTCCACATTCATCTTCAACAGCAGTGGAATTCAATTCATAATCACAACCAACCGGCTAAAATTAAAAATTAAATTTGTAGTTATCACACAGCCACAAGTAATCAATGTCAGTCATGCGGGAGAGGATAACAACACCAATAATTGTGATGAGAGTGGTAGTAAACAATGACAACGATAACAACAAGGATAAGGACAGATGTTTTACTATCATAACCATATCCCAATGCTTGACATTTCTTGAACTCAGACACCAAGGCAGGCAACTCAAATTTTACCAGTCCTGAAAGAAAGCTGTTAGTCTTGCATTGAAGTTTATTTTCAAATGCTTCCATTCCAAATGATCGAGTAATGACTAAGAACTTCAACCAATTAGTGTGAGGTAAGTATGGCTTAACATAGTAAAATATGTTACCGGGGGTAACAGTCATTTATTAATCAGCAGTAGATATCGCACTAAAGAGGGCATGCTTTTTTACTTATTTTACTTCAAATGTGTTGTGCAGTCACTTTCACTTTGCTGGAAGATCAATCCCTTAGAATCAACTCAACATTTTGTGATAAGTGCCAATATGCAAAACGAGTAATTAGATTTCCCTAGTTTGAACGTAGCAGGTCGTAAGGTCAACCGAAGTTTTACACTGAGTGAGATTTCCATTTAAAACATGATTTTTGTCACTATGCTAATTGTTGCTATTTTCGTATTGATCATCAGAAGAGAACAGTGCTAATTCCATTCAATTTACTATTTATTGATTTAAAATTACATTTTGGGAATTTTCACTAGTCAGACTGGAGAGTAACCCATCTCTGGCACACAGGAAGGTAGTATTTTAAAACACTGCATATACCTAGTAATTGTCACAACAAATGAATAACTTCAAAAGTAAAATAACAACAACAGTGGTTGTGTGGACAGGAACATACAATGATGAATGCCACTGATGATGATTAAAAATTAAACTACACAGATTAAATCGGCCAATAATGATGTGAGACATAAAATACTTACCAAGCATTCACCGTTTATACACATATCCCTGCCATTACGATAACATGGAGTACCGTCTAGTACTTTTGGTGCAAGTTCCTCAACAATGTTGTCATATCCTACTGCTTGGCAAATCAAAGCACATGGCTGGCGCATTTTACCGATCTTTGGAATCCACTCAAATGATACATCACCAAATTGTACATCATTAAAAGCTGAACACTGTTGTGCTCTAAAATCAGCAGAACCAGAACAACATGCCTACAGAGTGAAATACCGCCCTCTATAGTTAATGAACATGTATTATTTTGTTTTCATGCAAGTTCATACATATGTGAAACTAATCCTATTGAGGGCAGTATAATAAATTTATATAGGTACCAGAGAGAATTAAAATTACGGATTTTATTGTTTTATACTTATAAAATTTTATAAATTTCAAATTTGAATTCCAAAGTCAACTCTTTTCAGCTTTCACAAAATAAACCTTCATAATTTTTTTTCACACTTTTTAAAACCTTTTTAAAACCTTTGGTCTACAATTAATTAAGAAATTATAGAAAAATAGATAAAACAAGTTAAAACTTCCAATATTTAATTTGCTTATTGTAAATAACCTTAAAAATGCTCAAATTATTACAAATCACCTGTGTGCTGCATGTTCGATATCGAATTGATTTTCCGGCGCAGTCTTCGTGGCGATCACGATCACGATCACAATCACGGAGTGAGTAGGAAGCGCCACCTCCACAGGTCCGGGAACATTCACTCCATGCCGACCAGGGTGACCAGGCCAAGGCATGACCAATGCAGATTAAAGACTACAAATAGAAACAAATAGACCGGAATGAATGTCAATAAAAACATGAAAATGAGATATAAAATTGAGCGGCCACACTGGAATTTGAAAACCCTAGTCCTATTACTTACATTTCTCTGTGTATTTTGCATATTTTTTTTTTTTTACAATATCTTAACACAAGCATACTTCTCTCAAATCAACTAGGCCGATACTTGATCATACTTAATGTCAAAAAAAGTTTGAAAACTATTGTATCTAACACAATATTCACCAGTGCAGGATGGGAAAAAAACATGTCCTCTTGTGTAATTTCTTTCCATTCACTTATGTTATGAGAAGTAAACAAATTTAAAACCACATCCAATAGCAACAGCTACAGAAGCAGCAACAAAAACAACTTTTGAACAGTCATCTTCTTTCAGTTCAAAAGACTGGTTAGTTTGGTACTTACAAGTACAGATAAAATGAGAAGCCATCTAACTTCATTAGTTACAGAGAAAATACTTCTTAATTTGTGCATGCCTTTACCATTTAATACGGATAGTTTAACAATATGTTACCAGTTGACTCAGTAGATGACTTCAAGTATGATCAAATTAAATGAATTGTACAGGCATGTTATGTTTCCAGGTCAACGCAGTATCATGAGGTCACTACCTTGCCTGTAGCATCCAATACTGATTAGTTTTTCTGGGTTTTATTACAATTAAAGAAACTTCACAGAATCAAGTAGCTAGATATCTTAATCGCATCTATAACAATTTGTCTACAGTATAGTTGAAGATCAGGGTGGGCTGTACTTGAAAACTTTGCCAAGGGGTGTACACGACCACATATAGAGCAGTCGTGTATGGAAAAGCAGAGAACCGAAGAGAATCTCATGTGACCCTTTGTTAGAGTTTTAACCTCGCTGAGCGTTCAGAAGTGCATTTTTTGAATACCATGTATATTGCCTGTGGTAAAACTGGCTAGATTCACACTTTCTTACAAGGACATTTGAACTTTCCAGCATGTAGCATATTAGTTATAGCACATTTTTTACACTTGTTAGAAAACTAGTCAAAAAAAGTAATATCAAAGTAACCATACTGTATTCGCTCTATTAAAAGCACATCTTCAACAGAAGCGCCCATAAACAAAAATTGCATGCATCGTATACTGGATCATTAAAAAATGGCTTATTTTGATCATCAACATATTTCTGTCAGTGGATGTGCTACTAATATAGCAAATATGGTAATATTGTCCAAACATCCAGGCCTCCTAGTCCGTCCTTTCAGCGCAATTTTTATTAATATTTTGACTTAACTGTTCAACCATCCAGATTGTGTGAAAATTCTTGCTCCCAGAGTTGCATTCACAAAAAAAAAAATGCTTTTACTATTATTATTAAAACATAGTTGTGTAAAATTAGTTATCTGTTTGTTAGTTAACAGAAAAACAACTACCTATATTATGGTCAGATTATTATTTTTTTCTCATGCCTTTTCCTGCTCAAGAGGATGCATTTCTTATTGAAGAACATGTCAATCCAAAACTTTTACATAACCATCATAGGATCAAATTTTATACATTGTATGGCTTATTTTTGTTCAGACTTTCGTGCACAAATTTTCTGCACTTTTTTCTTATATTCTTCAATATTTCAGGAAATGAGCCCTAATTTAGAACCAACAGACAACATTTTGATAAAATTGTAGTTTTCACTCAAAAAATTTGACTATTTTTTTCAAATTTTTGAAGGAAAGTGCAGACTATAAATGGGACTACCGGTATTTTGTGAATTTGTGATGAAAGAGGGAAGTGGTGGTGAAAGGGTTAACAAGAGATAACCTACAATTACACAGTTACTAGCAAATCATGAGTTAGTGTGTTGCAAGTGGCACTTATTTTTGCTACCATATAAACTAAAAGTACTGATAAAAACGGAAACAGGGCATGACCTTAAATCAAGTATTCAGAATGTTTGAAATTGGGTACTCTATGACTACTTGACTATGCTTAGCATACACTTAAGACCAAGCTCACAAACAAGAAGCTTTATTATAGAAATACTTGAAATGCTGGAAAACAAGATACCCGTCCGAATGTACTCTATTTCTGTAAGTTTCTTCTTCTGGTATATTTATTATTATATATCAGATTTAATTATAAAATATTGAATATTATTGAAATTAATCTTACATATACTTTTAATGAAGGTTGTAAAATAGAAATTTCTTTGGATTACTATAATCCTTATATTACTTGAAGTATTTAATTTCTGATGAAACCATTTGTTCTTTTTCTTCAGCAAGTCAAGGCAGAGGTTATCAATCTGACTGGACATTTTTTTATGAGAAATATAATTAGTTATATCTGAGAGTCCCTGTATTTTGGTTACAAGGTTCAAACTTTCATCACACTATGCCAACATTATTCAGATGCCTCCGACAATAATTATTTGTTCCTAGTTGAATCAATGGAAAGATATGGTAGCGAACAAACTTACAAAATCAAGACTGAACTGACTTTGATTCAGGACAAATTTCTGAACTTTCAAAGTGTACTTTATGTTCACTATCGATCTCCACTTAAAACATACTGGAGTTTTAATTTCAATTTAGCTAAAACCGAGCCTTTGAAAAAAAAATTGACTGGAATTTCTACTAAACATCTAATACTTCTAACTATGATTGGTATGAATATTTTTAGATTACAGCGTCTGTGCTAGCTACAAAAGAAAAGTATAGATTTCACTTCAAATAAATACTTAGTATTCTCAATGAACACGAGCAATAAACAGACTATGCCAGAATTTGGCATTTCAAACATAAAACCGTACACTTTAAAATGATGTTATACATACTATTCAGTATATACAGTTTATTTTTTTACTGCTCCAAGGTTTTCTTTCCCCCTACAAAGTTTATTTTGAGACTTTCAAATTTGAAACTTAGATGTTTGTTTTGAATGCCCAGTGACTATTAATTCATCACACTGGTCTGTATAAAGTAAGACTTTTTCAGAGCGTTTAATATATTTATACAAGTAAGGTTCACATTCCATAAAGGACAGCCTGGAACACCAACAAATAAGTAATATTGTAGCTAGCTTTTTACAAAATAGTACACCTGTTTTTACACACACTAATGGCAAATCTAACCTTTTCACCACCAGTTCCCTCTTTTCATCATAAATTCACAAAATAGTCTTGTTTATAGTCTGCAATTACTTTCAGAAGATTGGGACAAAAATAGCGAAATTTTTTGAGTGAAATCTGAAAATATACTCAAGTTTTTTCTGTTGGCTCCAAAATTAGGGCTCATTTCTAGAAATATTGAAGAGTATTGCAGAAAAATATAGGCAAGAAAGTCTGGTGTTAAAAAGGCTAAACATAAGAGAATACAAAATGATCACTCTATGCTGAATGATTCAATTTTCTCATTGGATCAACATACAAAATTATTGCTTAAATATTAAAAATAATATTGAGCATAATACAGAATTATTTTTTGTACAGCTTGGAACATTTATTTTTTTCATTTTTTGGTAGATTTGTTTATTATTTTTTGGCAGAGTACTGTGGAATACTTTATTTTCGCTGGAATTAATTTTCGGTGAAAAAGCTTTTTGGGCGTTTTGTATGGAATTTATTTTCACTAATTTTTGATGAGTTTAATGTGAAATATAGGAAAAAAAGTATATTCGCTGGATTTTATTTTCACGGAATCGTCCCTTCAGCGAAAATAAATTCCAAGCGAAAATAAAGTATTCTACAGTACTTGTTTTTTTCACAACTTATTTATTTAGCTGCACTTCCCTACTTGAGTGAAATAAGCAATGTACTCCTAAATAACTTGAACTCTCAGATTTCCTGTTTTATTAGCTGGGCTATTTGCTAACAACTTGACAATAAACCACTATATAAATAGAACGTGATGATTGAATAAACTATTACCCACCCAAAATCACATCAACAGTCCAGTAGACCAATATTATATAAACAAATTGCAGAAAATCAACAGCAGTATAGGCCAAACAAGATCCCAAAAATCAACAGTCGGTGGAGGATTACAAACAAGACAGCTGTCATGAATAGAACCATTCTTATACAAAAAGTGGCCATTGATAGCAAGCTATCATGGGATTTTTAAAAACTAATTTTCTTAACAAAGTCCACATTTTCTAACATGATATATGGGAACAAGAAAAAGGCCTTAAGCAGCTCCACTGAGAATGATCAAACTGTTGAAAACTGTCAACAAAATTGTGCATCGAGATATCTGCCTAAAAACACCAAGAGATCAAAAACCACTTATCCCCTATTTTGGAAGTTTGATTCGATTGCCAGAAGCCTAGGATACAGCTGTCTTCTAATCACCTTTAAGATCTGGGGATCTGGGTCAATCCAACTTTTGAAGAACTTGGGGTAACATTTATTCGAATACTTGGTTATGCAAACCAATATACACTTTTGCATTACACAAATTTAAGTATGTTTGTTCAGCTTAAATTAAAGCGAGGGAGTCATCATCTGCGCATGCGTCAGATGGCCATAGCGTGTCATTGTTTACAAACAAGCATCTACCATTTAGCCTTTGCGTTCTTAGCTGGTGTTGTTATTATTGCATGGGACTCAATTCCTGCGCATGCACAGTCGACAACCCTCTCGCTTTAATTTTTACCAGAAAATAGACAAGAATTGATTAAACACTTTTCACATGCTTCCAGTAATAATGTAAATTTCTTTAATTTTGCGGGACAGTATTTTGCGAGTTGCCATATTGTGTAGCAGTGAAAATTTCTCTTCTGTCATACTACACAGAGTCAGTGAACTTTTGCTATTTTTTTTCATGATTGCCATAAAATAATCAAATCGAGAAAAAAATACAGTTTGCAGTATTTCCTTAGTAACCATGGTATCAAATACGAAAATACAAAAATATGATTTTCATGGAATTTTGACCTAATCTGACAATTCTATTTATATTTACTAGATTTGCTAGTGAAATTAAATACCCATGGTAAATATTATGG